GGGGGGGCTTGTAAGGTTTTGTTAACATTCCCTAGTCCTTTTGAACACTTAAGAATTTTCTTGACTCGGAGCTCAGTCTGGAAACAGGTGTGCTTTATTCAAAATAGAAGGCAGCTGGAGACTTTCAAACCATAGAAGCAAGAAATCAATGCCTAATACTCTACCTAGTACATGCTCTGTCAGAGCAGCTCCCACCAAAACACTGCCTCTCACCAGCTGCCCCAAAAAGTTCCAGACACCCAAGCACTCTTGGCAGGCTTTGCAGCAGGCCTTGTGTCTTGACCTAGCTCTTCCACTACTTTAACACTGCCTTTTTGGCCGGCTGAAATGCCAGTAGCTCCTTCCTGTCTAAGCCATAGATTGAGGATGCAGCCCAGCACTGTCATATTCAGTCTGAGCATCTACAGATTCATGTATTCTGCCAGGATCAACTGTTTAGAGGAACAAAGCCAACGCACATGTCAGCCCCACACCTCCTTCCTTTGATGCCAGCAGGGCACCTTGTGCACATGCCTGATGCTGATCGATGCTCCCTTGGAGCAAGGGATGGTAAATATATATCCAGGGTCACAACCACAACTAGTCATAAGGCTAATTGGCTGGAATCAGTAATGAGTCTGCTCCAGCATCAGCCCATCCAAGCCTCTCTACCTTCCACCTCTCATGACTTACTAACACACACATTCACTGGTCACAGCCCGATACTCATTTCTAGGCTTTGTTACTTTTGTCACTTGGGTGTCAGTCAGCACTGGGCTGCAGCTACATAAACCAGGCCCAGACTTCAAAGAGCTACCCAGCTCTGCCCTCAGAGACCACTACTGTCCTCCCAGTAAGGCAAACAGTAACCCAGCGTACATAACCTATGAACAGCCATTCATTTGTAAGAGAGCACAAAATCTTTGATACTCTTTCATTCTCAGCACTAACAGCCCACAGGAGCATGGCAGATCTGAGGATCTTTATTTCATAGTTATCAATGGCTAGAGGGATGAGTTACATACTGTTGCATCCATAGGTAGGCAGCAAATCGTAGTTACCAACATGGTACTTACTTTGGGTTTAATGACAGGATGTGAGACTGCACAGCTGTGCTCAAGGTACCGAGGCAACTCCAAAGGCTGGCAGTGAAAACAAGATACTAAACCTGGAAAAAACCAATTGGCTCAACTAGGGCTTAGGAAAAAAAAAAAATTATCACATTGATGCCAGGGGAAAAAAAAAAAAAGAAGTTCAAACAGCAGCAAGTAAAAATAATCCCCAAAGGGGAATCGGTAACATGAATAACGTGGGCATGGACAGAGCAAATAGGAGAGGGAGAAGCTCAGGGCTAGCCATAACCACAGCTGGACCAGATCAGAGCAACATATTTCATTCACTACACTGAGCAAGACGCCGTACACTTTTTGTGGTGTGTTAAATTAGTCTGTCTTCATCCCTTCCCAGCCAGCTCACAGTCCAGTAGTTAGTTACAGCGCTGTGTGCAAATACAGTTAGAGTAGTCCACAGCTCCCCATCCCTTGTAGCGGACCAGCCCAAGTCATCAGAGGCTTGGAAAGTGTAAGCCACGCAACGCAAATGAGAACAAAGACAGGTGGAAGCTCTTGCCAACCACACAGCATTGCCTGGTGCCCTGCTTATACAGCAGTCCCAGACAAGGCTACTGAAGTTGTGTGTCTCTGTGTACACTGACCCTACCCTATGGAGGGTCACTCAACAGTGAACCACAGCACTCCTCAGGCTGACCTGGACTCAGCTGGCATGTTGAAAACAAACAGAGAGACACTGGAAGTACTGTAAGGGCTTGGACACTCCATAGAGAATTAATATGGCCTGTAGTTCCAGTAACTGGAGAAAACAGAGATCTGGAAAGTAAGAAGAAAAGCAGGTTAAGTTCCTGTATCCCTTGGGTCATAGAAGAAAGAGCATATAACGCATGCATGAAGGTTGAGCTTTACAGCATTACACACTCCAGTGCTGCACTGCAGAAGGGCAAGATTTGCTGCTGTTGTCATGGAAGAGGCTTGGAGCCAAAGTCACTTGCTCAAGGTGGCAGCCAGATGAGCTGCAGAGCTCGAACTGAACATTGGTCTAGTGGGATCTAGTTTGCTGAACTCTCCATACCTCATTTCCAGCACCCTGGCATTTCCTCACATCCAGCTCACGACTGAGAACACAAAAGTGTCTACCTGCTCCTCTCCATCTAGTCACTAGTTCAAGCAAAGATATCTGCCACACTACTACATATTATCCCAGAAGGCTAGCTGCTAAGCAGTGTCAGCCAGCTCCCTGGCTCCAGAGCGTTGACTCATCGCTTGTTTTCAGTTTATATGTAAGTCGTACAGAATAACATCACATTAGATTTTTAGGAGATCTGAGGTCCTCTAAAATCCAGAGTTAAAAACAAAGCCCCTTCTCCAAGGCTGTTACCTTGTCCTTCAGTTGCTGGCAAAGCTGCAGTGAAACTGTGAAGAAGACAAGGGCATCATTTAACCATGGGACAACACATTCCACTTTATGAACATGGCTGACTTCATACCGCTGGTTGCCAAACTCACTAGAGTGGGAGAAGAAAAAGAGCATAGCTTCACACACAACAGCACTGAACACAAAACTCAACTGTTCTCCATTCTCACAGAAAAGACTATTATGATTTCTGCTACATTTAACCTACACCTGGCAGTTATAGAATGCAAACTCTCAGTCTACCTCTGACCAGATTTAGAGTTAAGCTAAATCTAACAGGGTTAAGGTAGAAACTTTACTACTTTCCAGAGAGGCAGAAGGGCAGAAAATGCAGATGGCAATGCCAATAACCTAATGTTCATTTTGGTTGACAACTCTCATCTTTAGAGAAACTCACGGCACTCTATGGGTGGGCTGTATCCTGAAAGCTCACATCTTTGGGCCTTTATGACCAAGCCATTAAAGAAACACTATTAAGGGCACATGTGCAATGACTCATCCAGGTTCTCCACTCAACAGATGCTACAATCAAAACTGCATACAGCCTTTTGGATTTCATCCTCGACATACTCCTATAACTGTCACACAGCCCTTGTAGTGCCTGTACTTACAACACGGCTCCAGGGTTGTGTAAAATGGATCCTCCAGCAGGCTTGAAGTTCTAGAGGAGAAGGAAAAGGTCATCAGGATTTTGATGCAGTAAACAAATTACTTAGAAGGATGTTTAAGGTTTGCACTTTCAGCAGCCTGACATCAAGAAATGGCGATACTGTATCTGCCCAAATACTCTGTTCATATGGAATCCATGCTATCTGATCCCTTCCTGCTCCTTCATGAAAAAAGTCCTACACAGTGGCTGAGTTCAACTTAGCTCCAAGTCTTAGCACCACAAAAAGAAGATGAGAAAATCCAGAAGAGAAACAAAAGATAGATTTGGGGGAAAATACCCTTATGGAAGGACTGCATTTCATAAATCTTAAGAGTTTAATTCTATTTTTACATGACATCAAGCTGACCCAAACACAACAGGTAATGCAGAAAAGTATCCATCAAAACTCCATTCAGAAAATCCAAGACGCTACTTCAATGTAAACTGGATTAATACTATTATGCTCTTCCAAAATTACACAAAATTATCAAACTATATTGTAAGACAAAGCATTACTTGGCAAAAAATAGTTACTGGCTTTCACCAGAGCACTGGTATTTTCTTCCAGGTAAGTGGCCATGCCCCAAACTAGATTTAGAGCCACTGTTCTGCCTGCAGCAGATCTAAACACAAACACTTAACACCAGTTACAGTCATTTCTGCGTTATCTTATACATATATCATTGCACTATGTAGCAGTGCGCCGCCCTCCTCACCATAGGACATCAGGAGAGGTAAATAAACAAGGCTCAAGAGATAGTAGGCGTCACCTTGGTTGTGCTGGGCTGCAGCACATGGAGTTGGTAGACAGTCAGGCACAGCTTATTCAGGTTAATATAGAAATTCACAAGGATGTCTGGAGGCAGAGCAGGGGTGAACATTTTCTGGCGAGAAAATAAGTAGTTTCTTTGTCAGTGAAAGGACCATCATTTCTAATGCTGGGAAATCACTGCCTTTTTCTAAGCCATATTAAGGTTATCCCATACTGAGAAGGACGTTAGGAAAGAAAGACAGACTGAGCAGCTTGCAGGCAATGTTTGTTCCTCTTGCTGCACTTGATCAAATGGTGTGTGCATGACAGAGCCAAAAGAAGATGGAGCAGTGTTCACAATGACAAATAATCCCTGGACAAGATTCCTGGGCAGAGAACAGCACTTACCGAGTGCCTCATGCCCAAGTCATCTGCTTTCCCAGGGTTTGCACCTACTTCAGCTCTCCCTTTCTGCCTCAGCAGACACTTCATAAATCCACTTCCACTAGGAAGCAGCACAATACCCTAACTGTGGCATGCTGCCAGACTGTATGGAGATCTATACCACCACATACTTACTGCGAGACCACTGGAGGCAATCTCTGGTAGAGTCAGAGTAGCTGGAGTGGTAAGCCGATTTCGGGCTCGTGAGAGCTGTAACATCACAGCATCCATAAGCTACAATATAAAGCACAGTACACTGCTGAGCAGTGATCCCTGGACAGCGTGCTGCAGAATGCTACAGCCTTTTGCAAGTGTTACACCACACCAACAACCACCAACACCAAAATCCCCTCGCACAAATTCAGGGACTTATTGGGAAGGGGAGGCTCCCACGTAATTGCAGTTTAACTGTTACCACCATCATAGACACTTGCGAGACAGGCCAGGAGTGTTTAACATCAAGGACTGAAGAGAAAATAGTTACTCATGAGAAGAATAAGAAAAGAAAATGAGATCAATTACTGATGCCACAGAAGCATTGACAAACTCATCGCCTCTTCTGAAGAGCGGGCATTAAGGAAAAACAGCAACCTGTGTTCTAGTTCCCCCCATTCCCACATCACAAGTACAACTGCTGAATGGGTCCCCCCTGTTCATAACCACCTATGAGCTGGGGCACTAGAGAAAAGAACCAGCTCATTGTGAGTCCAATCCTGCCAGAAACCACTCTGCCAAGGCTCTATTCATGTAGACTTCCTTTCCAAGAAAAAAGTGGGAAACAACATATGTCTGTTATACAGCTCATGACTGCTAAGATGAAGGCATCCCCCCCCTACTTCCACCTCAAAGTAAAAAGGAAGTAGGTTTATTACCTAGCTGCCTCCTGTTAGCAGCCCT